TTTTTTTTTGGGGGGGGGGGGGATTATATTCCTGCATTTATAAGGATATATTGTGCATCTATGAAAAAATAATCGTATCAAAATATTTTTCACGAAATTAAAAAATTTCTTCCAATTCGAGTAGTACGAAATTATATCACATTATAAAATAACTTTTTATATTTATCTTATTGCTTATTTAAGAAAAAAAAGTGTTTGCAATTATACCCTAAAAAAAAACTTTTATCTGTATTACAAAAATCTTTATATTAAATTTTAAATTGGCAGCCAACACGTGAGTATTAGTAGAATTCAATCGCATGTAATTACACGCAAGAGAAAGAGATAAGGATAAATTCAAATCACGCAATTTTTGATATATCATTCTCTAGTCGAGCGATTTCAGCGAATATTACGGACCGTAATCGCTGGTAAACGACCGTATCGCTGGTTCCTCATTGTCAATAGTCATCAAAAGTGGGGGCATGTGCATCGTCACAGGCCTACTTTTGGAGCAATCGTTCGTCGACGACGGCGAGGGGAGCCGCGTCGTGCGCGAGTAGAAGCGCGAAATATATGTATTTGCAGCGGCGATAGAAGACACGAAAATAGTATCAGCTCAGGATCGTATCGCTCTCGGTGGCCCGTGGATCTCCGCTCTATTAATAGAGAGGGATGAGAGGGACTCTCTCCCAGAGCAACCGGAGCGCGGGCACGCTGCCCGGAACTCTGCTCGTGTCCAGAGCCGCGACTTCTTGGACCTCCCAGAGCCGCTTAGGCTGTCGCGGATTCCACATTCCACCGGGACAAGCTCCTTTCCTTGCGTACCTCTCCATCTTTCACTATCTCTCACTCTCCACGAAGTACTCTCATCCGGCTAGTCAAGTCACCCTCTTGTGAAAACCATCTACACACGCATACGAATACATCGCACACGTGCGTTCACGCACTCGCATTGACACCATCCCCCGAGTGTAAGTTCAACTTTTGTCATTTTGCGTGTTCTCGTTAATTTCTATTTCTCTTCTTATCTTCTATCGTTTTATCGTGCCGTTCATGGCACCTCAAGGCGTCATTCTTCTTCTGGAGAACGTTCGCGATATGAATTATTGTTGTGTCGTAGTCTTTGTGTTACTGCGGTGTGATTGTTGTGAATGTGAAATCGACGAATATATATATCATATTGTTAACTCGAGAGATTTCGGCGGAGATCCTCGTTCCAACAATAAGGCTCAATTTTATGCGCAGCAAGACGAACGAGCAGATATTTAAACAAACTCTCGAGAGTCACGTGATTTGCTTTCAAGAGGATTAATCGAAAGAGGAGACTATATAAAATTATATTTCATCTCTGTAAAAATATCTCATCTTTTTCGCGTAAGGGATTTCTAGTGCCGTTTGCGAAACGAAAAGTGAGCGTTATTTTTCTATCGAGAGCTTAACCAGTGAAAATCTGGTGAATATGCCAACATGTGTCTGCTCGTAGCGCGATTTTATCTACTTGCCAGTAGAGAAAGTCGATATCGCTTGCCCCAACGTGGCATTAGTGGAAAATTTTTTATTTTTAGTGCAAATCGAACGTGCAAGTGAATGATTATAAAAATTGATTGATATAAAAAAATTATATATTATATATGTGTATTAAAATTTGTAATTTTTATAAACTTTATTTCTCAGATTTTTCTATTGATTTTCGTAACGAATTTCTTCTCTGAAAATTCGATTGCACGAGTCATTTTTCTATATTAATTTTTGACATTGCATACTTTATTATTGAAATTTCAGTAAACGAAAGAGAAACCAGGACCTCGTTTTAAAATAGCGGAAATTGTACTTTTTCTATGATCTGAGATAAGAGCCAAATTCGTATTCTATTTCAATTTAACTAGCAGTTTTGTATTTTAATTTCAATTTATATAATTTTTGTAATTATAATTAATTTATAAAACTGTCAAATTATCAAATATCATAAAATTATTAAATATCATTAAATTAGTCGCAGTTAGTGTCACAGAAATGCATCTCAATAACACACGTCTAAAATATGTCGCTTGATAAACATCCACATTTTTACAACGTTTCCTAAAATATTTCTCGATCTAATGTTACAAAAATTGTAATTTGACGAAGCGTGGTTCTGGCATTCGCGGATCTTTGGTAAAACTCGCGAGAAACGATCAAGAGACGGAGAGAAGCGGAAAGAAGAAGATGGAACGTGCTCGAGCGACCATGTTATATCTCTAAAATTAGAGCGACGAAGGAGAAGAAGGGGACGGCTCCTTATAGAGCTTGCGACGCCGAGCTTGCGGCCAGGGTTAGCAAACTGGCATTTTCTCGCTTTCAAGTATCGGATTACTTTGGGAACGTCGGTGCGTGTGCCATTCAGCTTCGGCTCCTCTCGTTTCCCTTTCCACTCGCAAGATTTGTCCGCGAGAGCATTTTTGTACATTCGAATCTCTCGTCGCGTCTCCCTCTCTTCAATGCTTCTTCCCTTCTTTCCAGCGGTTTATCCGATTTTTTTATTACGCAAGCTATAATCGGTGTGACTCCCAACTTTTTCCATCCCTTCTGTCATTCCTATCTCTTCTTTCTTAAATTTATCGTGCCATTGGCAAGTAACGTAAGTAAATTCGCAAAATCAATCGTGACGCGTCCATAAAATTGAGTCTAATGATACTAGATTATACTCGTGATTGATTTATAAAAGTTGTAATAATAATAATGAGGTCGTCAAGGAATTTGCCATTCCATGTTCATCAAGATTTTACACAAGGACATCGAAAGGATTTGACAGTGTTACAGTATACGCTAATTCTAATTACACAACGACATTTTTTTCTCTACAAGGATCGTGCAATGTGTTACAAACAATATGTGTGATTTATTATATAAATATATAATTTAACATAAATAAAATTTAAAATATAAGAAGGAACATCCCGTTTAATAATTCTGCTATTAAAAAATTTCTTGTCACTGAAGACTTTTACAAATTCAATAATGAATGTCTCGTTTCTGTCTTGCAGCGCCTTAAATAGCCGTCAACATGTCTGACGACGAGGACCAATACTCGTAAGTATATAATAATTAACTTTATCGATCACTCTTAAAATCAATTGTAGATTATAATCTATTATTCACATTTATATAATGTTGAGACACAATTATTTTGAGACTAATGTAAAAAACCCAGTTTTAGAAAATACCATAAATTTCAAGGAACAATTTTTAGACTTTAGCATGTAATATTTTGGAGAATGGACTTGCATAAAATTTATATTTGCTGATAAAAAATTATTTATAAATTAATTATATATTTTTTCTTATAAAATGTCTTGGCATGTTTAGAATATTTACTTCTAAATCGCGAAATAAAAATTGAAACTCAAATAACTATTTACGTGTATTACGATAACAGAGTACTTGGACAAGTTTGTTGATAAATTTATAGTTTATTGCATTACGAAGAAAAATTTGCAATTCTTGCGAAAATTAATTTACGTCAAAAAAATGAGAGCTTCAAGCAACCTCAAAGGCCTTTAAACCCCTAACTGTCAAAAGCAACTCTTGAGACCCACCCAGTTTGTTACAAACATTTAAACTTAAATGATCATTTTTACTGTTTTCGCTCCGACTAACTAGACTCTTTTTCCGTTTTCTCTTTTGCAGCAGCGAGGAGGAAGTCGAAGAAGTGTAAGTGTCCCTTATTTAACTTTAAACATTCCCCAATGTGGCACCTGATATCTTTCTAACAATCGATTGTTTCACTTTCTCATTTCAGGAAGTAAGTGTCGGAGGCTTGTAACGAACATTATAGCTACTGCGAAGGCGCGTCGCGTACGTTAAGAACTTATTTCGATCTTGATTGCTGCGAATTTTGCGATAAATCGAGTTTAGAGGGATAGATTGCAACGATTTTAAGCTGAAAGATAAAATTCAACGTTGACAGAGATGCTGACGATACTTTTAATAGAAGAGCGCGTTCTTGAAAAATATTCTTTTTCTACATTTCATTTTATATTAATAAATTAAATATTTTACCGAGAAAGATTTATAAACACTTGAAAAACTGCTAATCATAGCTGTTTCTGTTTTCTTTTTTTTTTT